CCAGGTCAGAGTTTCAAGGGTTGTAGAGGGAGAGAGAGAGAGGAAAAGAAAAAAAAATGATGTATTTCAAAATACCTTCTTTAAAAAAAAAATGAAATATCAAAATTTCTCCTTAAAAGTCTTTTATTCGTACTATTTATTTTTAACAAAAATTCTAACAGAGGGGTTAAATGAGACTAATTCAAAGTTTGAAGTAGTGAAGTGAGAGTTTTTAAAGATCAAGGTAGAGAGAGAATGATGTAAAGTTTAAGGAGCACAAGTTAGTGAAGCTTTTCTAAAAAAGAAGTAAGAGAATTGAGAAAGGATTTCTTATTATTATTTTGATTAATATTACACTATACTGCCGGGTATATATACACATTTAGGGAAAACCACAGCCGGTTATAACCCTTGATTCTAGTAACCTAAATCACACAATTTAGGAAACTGATTAACTACTGAATCAGCAAATCATGAACCTAATCAATAATTTCTACAAACAAGGAAACTACCAACTGTACACAATCTTTCCTATTATACAAACACACACACACACACACACACACACACACACACCAGATTTTCCACACTCCCTCTCAAGCTGGAGAATGTATGTCAATCATTCCCAGCTTGGATAGAAGAATATCGAAGTGAGTTCTTGGAATGGCTTTGGTGAGTATGTTTGCAGTCTGCTGTTGTGTGGGTGTGTAGACAACCTCAACAATACCTTCTTCTATCTTTTCCTTGATGAAACGTCGATCAATTTCCACATGCTTGGTGCGATCGTGAAGGACTAGATTTTTCGAGATGCTGATTGCTGTCTGATTGTCACACAACAGTTTCATCAGAGTTTTAATTGGAAGTTGTAGTTCTTCTAGAAGTCTTCTTAACCATATTCCCTCACATATTCCGTGAGGGCCTAGAATTTAGCTTCAACACTACTACGCGCAACCACCGATTGCTTCTTACTCCTCCAACTGACCAAATTTCCCCACACATAGGAACAATACCAGGATGTTGATCTCTTATCAGTCAATGAACCTGCCCAATCTGCATCCGATAGAACCTCTATGCTCCTATTAGTCCCTTTCTTGAAAAATAGGCCTTTGCCAGGAGTCATGTTCAAGTACCTTAATACTCTGTACACTACTTGTGTTCTTGATTCGGGCTGTTCATAAACTGACTTACCACGCTGACAGTGATGCTAATATCTAGTCTAGTGTGAGACAAGTAGATTAATTTGCCTACCAACCTCTGATATCTTCCTTTATTAATTGGAGCTAAATCTCCTTTAGACTTGTGAAACTGAGATTCCTTTACTCGACCGTGCTATCTCCATCCCTAGAAAGTATCTTAAGGCTCTAAAATCTGACTTCAAATTCTTGACTTAGAACACCTTTTAGCCGAGTTGTTTCTCCTTCATTATTTCCTATGACAATTATGTTACCAACATAGACAATAAGGATTGTGATCTTACCATCTGGGGTTCTCTTAATGAACAAAGTATGATTAGATTGTCCTTGTGAATATCCCTACTTCTTAACTGCCTTGGTGAACCTGTCAAACCAAGCTCTCGGAGATTACTTGAGTCCGTTCAGTGATTTTCAAAGTCTGCAGACATGTCTGCTAACACTTGGTTGCTTGAGTCCTGGTAGAATCTTCGTATATACCTCTTCCAGATTACCATTGAGGAACGCATTTTTAACATCCAATTGATGCAGCTCCCAGTCAAGGTTGGCTGCTAAAGAAAGTAGGACTCGAATGGTATTCATCTTTGCAACTAGTGCAAAGGTTTCCTGATAATCAATTCCATAGGTTTGTGTAAATCCCTTTGCTACCAGTCTTGCCTTGTATATGTCTATGCTTCCATTTACTATGTATTTAACATTGAAAACTCACTTGCATCCTACAACATGTTTTCCTTGAGAGAGTTGAGTGAGTTCCCACGTACCATTTTTCTGCAAGGCCTTTAGCTCTTCATTCATTGCCTTTCTCCATTTTGGATGTAGTAGGGCCTCTTGGATATAATCCGGTATCTGGATGCTGTCTAGATTGGTGGTGAATGCCCTGTAACTTGGAGACAATTTCTCATATGGCACAAAGTGTGAGATAGGATGTTGGGTACACGACCTGACCCCTTTCCTTTGGGCAATCGACATGTCAAGATCATCAGGTAAGCATAAATCATTAGATGAGGAATAGGATTCATTGTTACCTTGTATCACTTCATTTGGAGTTCAAGTCGGGTCATCTACTTGGCAAGGCGTAGGAAGCTCGTGATGCTCTACTAGTTTACGGTTCTTCTGACGTCTGGAGTAGACTAAGGCCCCATTCATTTCACCGATTTCTAGTTTTGCTACAATAAAAAGCTCTCAGAAACAGTCACAACTTACTTTTTTGCTATAGTAAAAAGTTCTAACATAAAGTCACATATCAACTCGAATTAAAAACTTGAATCAACGAACTAAACAGACCCTAAGAGCTCCTTGTTACCTTCCTAAGGATCCTTAGAAGATGCAGTTACAGGTTTAGGAGAAAGACTACCCACAGGCTCTTCTATCATCATACTTTCCCAAAATTGATATTCTTCTTGTAACTTCTCCCCCTGAATAGAAATTTTGGAATAATAGGGAACATTCTCCATGGTCACATCCATAGTGTTATATGTTTTTCTAGTTATATTTTCAAGCAGGTATCTCGTGTTTGTCCTGTTTTTCGGCAATGATCACACCATGACCGAGTCTTCTTATGCTTTGAGTATTGAGCTGAGTAGGTTCCTCGGGCTGCAAGGGTTGAGCTTTCGGTCCCTGAAGATAGCTGAGTCGCTAACATGAGTTTCCTTCTACTTTCCTCTCCTCTTACTTCAGAAAAGACTTCTCGAATGGATGGGAGGGGCTTTCTCCTAAGAATTCTCCCCATCACTTCGTCAAGAGATTTGTCTAATCCAGTAGGAATTTGAAAACTCTCTCCTTCTCAACAATTTTCTTGAAGAGGTTTGCATCTCCAGGACATTCCCAATCTGGGCTATCAAACATATCCAACTGTTGCCAATAATGACTAAGACAATTGTAATATTGAATCACAGTTAACCCACCTTGCCTTAGGTCATGAAGTGCACCCTTAATTTCAAAGAGTTCAACAATATTTTCATTGTCTGAATATGTTTCTTGGGCTGCCATCCATATTTCATGAGCAGTGTCATAGAACAAGAAATTTTGTCCAATTTCAGCGTCCATGATGTTAATTAACCTTGACATAACCATGTTGTTTTATGCCTTCCAGGTTCTGAACGTCAGATTATTCTGTTTCGGTGGAACAGCCTCCCTCGTGAGATAGTCATATTTCCCTTTGCCTGAGATGAACATCATTACAAACTTAGCCCATTGAAGATAGTTCTGATCATTCAGCTTGTGTTGAGTGATGAGCAGAACTGAGCCTTCTAATCTACCAGAATTCAAGAATTTTTGGCTAGCCGAGGTACCTGAGGCACTGCTTGCTTCCGACGCCATGAGGAAAAAAGGCTAGAGGTTGCGAGATGACTGTTACAGTGATTGGGCTGTTAAAACAGAGAAGGAAACAACTGGAAGCCGAAAAAAACTCCCAAACGATCAGCAACGATGCTCTGATACCATGAAGTTTTTCTAGAAAAGAAGATAATTAAGAAATGATTTCTTATTATTACTCTGATTAATATTACACTACTGCCGGGTATATATGCACATTTAGGGAAAACCACAACCAGTTATAATCCTTGATTCTAGTAACCTAAATCACACAAATTAGGAAACTAATTAACTACTGAATCAACAAATCAGGAACCTAATCAATAATTTCTACAAACAAGGAAACTACCACTGTACACAATCTTTCCTATTATACACACACACACCGGATTTTCCACAGTTAGAATAAAACTTAGCTTTTAATCTTGTTAGTAAACGTGACCTGTAAGAATCTTTGGTTGCCAAGTTACCTCACCGGCTCTCCAAAATGTTTTTCTAGAGCATATTTGGAATCTGAAGTCTTTGAATTTGGGACGAAAGAGGGATTTGAATAAAGAAATGCATATAGACAAAACGAGGAGGAATTGATCCGTTTATCCGTCTTTGAAAGTCTGGAGATGAAGAGTTTTCTCACCTTGGAATCTTATAGTGTAGGTATATAATGGCCTCCTATCAAGATGCTATGCTTTTCAATAAATTTGCTGAAAGAGAGAAAAAAAAATAGTAACAATAACATTGTGTTCTTTTAGTACTGCTTACGTGTGTTTGGTCGCAAAAATACCATTTAACATAAGTACAGACGTAGTTAAACAACTTCCAATGGGTGACATTATTTCAGAAGTAGTTCTCTTACTTCAGGTTGGCAATTTTCCTCTAGCGTTCATATATAGGATTAACTATAAACGGTATCGGTTGCTTAAGTTTAGTTTCCTGTTGAAGTCATCTCATCTTTTTCTCATATTAAGATTATATTCTGTGTAACTTTTTTTTCTAAGCAAGTTAGTTTAAATTTTATTTTTTATAAGAAACAAAAACCTCATTGGATCAAAAACAATACAAATGAAGTTATAAGATGGGTGAGAAATCCATTAGAAAGCGAAAGAAAATACAACAAAAGAAAGGGAAAGGAGAAGGCCCGAACAGTAAACACAGTAAGCTCCAAAAACTACACTCTAACAACCATAACGATTACATAATTACTTAAATTAGATTTTCTTCCCAACTTAGTATTATTAAGGACATAGGAAAGTGTTTGAAAGAGGAGTCTGTCGAAGCCCACAAAGAGGCTAAAAATTTTGTGAAAGCAGAAATATTGCTTTCTGTTTTTTATATTGAATGAATAATCGGTACATTAGGGCTCCTAATTTATAATATAACTATGAAAATCAAATCTCCTAAAACTAAGGCCTAGAGATCAGGAAAGTGATATGTTTAAATTAAATCAAATAGGGAAACATTCTATCCTGAATTGGGAACCTTATCCCTAGCAATAAATTAGGGATTTCAACACTCCCCCCCTCAAGTTGGATCATATATGTTCATCATTTCCAACTTGCTTAAGAAATCATCGAATTTTTGTCTTGCGAGCCCTTTGGTGAAGATGTCTGCAACCTGATCTTGAGTAGGAACATAGGTCATGCAAATGATTCCCTTCTCCACATTTTCTTTGATGAAGTGTTTATCCACTTCCACATGCTTGGTTCGGTCATGTTGGACTGGATTGAGGGATATATTAATTGCCGATTTGTTTTCACAGTAGAGTTTAACCGGGAATTCTACTGTAACTTGGAGTTCTTCTAGTAGTTTCCTCAGCCATAGTACTTCACATATTCCTTGGGCAACCGCTCTAAATTCCGCTTCGGCACTACTCTGAGCCACCACATTTTGTTTTTTGCTCCTCTAGGTTACTAAATTTCCCATACAAAGGTACAATATCCAGAAGTAGATTTCCTATCTTCAATTGAACCTGCCCAGTCTGCATCTATATAGACTTCTATCCCTCTGCAGTCAGTCTTCTTGAAAAATAATCCTCTACCAGGTGATCCTTTGAGATACCTGAGTATCTTGTATACTGCCTCCAAGTGAGGTTCCTTTGGCGAATGCATGTGTTGGCTGGCCACACTAATTGCAAATGCAATATCAGGTCTAGTATGAGACAAGTATATTAGCTTGCCTACTAGTCTCTGATATTGTCTTTATCAACCAACTTCCCATCGTCCACGATTTTCTTCCCTGCTTCAATCGGGGTGTCACTTGGTTTGCATCCAAGTATACCCGTTTCTGTGAGAAGATCAAGGACATATTTCCTCTGGGAGACACTGATTCCTTTATTTGACCTAGCAACTTCCATTCCCAAAAAATACCTCATTTGCCCCAAATCTTTCACTTCAAACTCCGTAGCAAGAATACTCTTCAACCTCTCCATTTCTGCTACATTATTACCAGTAAGGATTATATCATCCACATAAACTATTAGGATTGCCCTCTTCCCATTTTTGGCTTGTTTGAAGAACATACTATGATTTGATTAACCCTGTAAATATTCTTGATCCTTTATCACTTTTGCAAACCTGTCGAACCACGCTCTTAGGGACTGCTTAAGGCCATAAAGTGATCTCTTGAGTTTACACACTCGCTTGTCTTCCTGCCCTTTGCTGAATCCTGGCGGCATGTCCATATAGAGCTCTTCTTCTAATTCTCCGTTCAAGAACGCATTCTTGATGTCGAGTTGCTGAAGGGGCCAATCCAGATTAGATGCCAAGGATAGAAGAACCCGAACCGTATTTAACTTTGCCACATGAGCGAATGTCTCGGTATAGTCAATGCCATAAGTTTGTGTGAAGCCCTTGGCAACAAGTCGAGCTTTGTATCGTTCTATCGTTCCATCTGCTCTGTATTTAAGGGTAAATACTCACTTGCAACCCACTGTTTTCTTCCTTCTTGGCAGCTCCATTATATCCCACGTCTCATTTTTCTTCAAAGCTCTCATTTCTTCCATGACGGCATTTCTCCACTCTGGAATGGCTAGTGCCTCCTGCACATTCTTTGGAATTTATATACTGTTGAGATTAGAGACAAAGGCTCGGAAAACCGTAGACAAGTTTTTTTGTGACACAAACTTGGAGATGGGATGAAGTGTACATGATCGTGGCTTTTTTTTCTGTGAGCTATGGGAACATCAATATCAAGAATTTCAGGGGTATTAGAGATACCTTCTTCTGTGATGGTCTCGGTCATACCTGGATCTATCACAGGGTTGGATTCTCTTGGTGCTTCGGAAGTGAGGTTGTCTTGATATTTTGACTTTGGCCTTCTTGAGTAGACAAGCAGCTCCCTGTTCTTTTGCTTTCCCACATCTCCCTCTGAGTTCAAGTGTCCTTTTGTATATGACATATTGGAATGAGAAGGAAAGGTGGTGGTGTTTTCCGTGTTTAGGATATACTCAGAAGGAAGAAGTTCAAAGTCCACTAAACAATCTTCATTAGAGATCTCCCCCTGAAAAGAAGTTTTTTGGAAGAACGGAGTGTTTTCAAAGAAGGTAACATCAAGACTAACGAATACCCTTTATGTGGAGGGCTCACAACATTTGTAGCCCTTCTGTGTGGGGGAATAGCCAATGAGGACACACTTAGTAGCTCTAGGATTTAACTTACTTTGATTTTGAGAGTGGACGTGAACAAATGCGGTACACCCAAACACCTTGAGGGGTAAAGTTGAGGGTAGGCGTGAAGTGGGAAAGGCTTTTATGAGCAAATAAGAGGGGTGTAAAGAATTATCTTTATTGCACTGAATTAAGGTTTACAGAATACCTATAAATACAGAGACTAAGAAACTATTCTAGGAAAGTACATAAAACGCAAATCATCCTAACTATTTAGTGATTGGGTGATTGGTACAAGAGCATGTACCTTTCCTAATAGCTATAGGAACATCAAGATCGTTAAAGAATTCAGGAGGAATTTTTTCAGGCAATACTGAGGAAATATCAGGTTGAGAAGGATTCAGATTGCCTGACGTGTCCATAGACTCATAATTCAGGTTATCTGATTGATTCAGAATCAAGGGATTAGTCGGTCCTCTGCTCTTTTGATGATTCTTTCTCCTAGAGTAAACAAGAAGCTCAGAATTACATCCCTTAGGATCGGTTGGTAGTATTTCTCGCCCTCTGGAAGACTCAACAATGGCTGGCAACATAGTACTAGGATTAGTAGTATTCCTTTCAAAAAGATTTAAATTTATCCTTTGATTAGGTTCGGACTCCACAGGTTTCGGTAAAAGGTCTGGAATAACATCCCAAAAATTTTCTTCCACGCTTTTGTTTCTCCCCCTTAAGAAAATTCTTTTGAAAATAAGGTTGATTTTCAATGAAAGAAACATCTAAAGTAACAAAGATTTTCCTAGTAGTAGGATTAAAAAACATAAAACCTTTTTATTTGGAGCATAGCCAATAAAAACACACTTTTCAACCCGTGGATCTAATTTTGACTGTCCTTTGCTAGACAAATGAACATCACTTTTAAGGGTAAGTTTGATTCAAGATGAGTTCCAAGGAAAGTATATTTTAGAACTTAAGAGGTGTAGTATAATTTAGGACACGAGTGAGCATTCTATTAATTAAGTAACATGCTGTTAAAACAGCTTCTCCCCAAAGAAATTTTGGAACATTCATTGAAAACATTATGGCATGTGAAACTTCAAGTAAATGTTTGTTTTTTTGCTTAGAAATTCCATTTTGTTGAGGTGTATCAACACAACTAGATTGTTGATGAATACCCTTCTTTTTTAAAAAATTTCCAAGTATTTCTGAATAATATTCGGTGCCATTATCACTACGAAGAATTCCAATTTTAGTTTGAAACTGGGTTTCAATCATTGCATAGAAATTTTTGAACAAAGATTCAACTTCAGATTTTTCACTCATTAGGTAAACCCAACATAAATGAGTATGGTCATCAATGAAGGTGACAAACCATCTTTTGTCAGAAATCGTTTTGATCCTTAAAGGACCCCAAACATCACTATGAATTAAGTAAAATGGTCTTGAAGATTGATAAAACCTTGAAGGATAAAAGGTTTTATGACTTTTTGATAGAATGCAGTTTTCACAATATAATTGAGAACAATCCAAACCTTTAAATAACATATGAAAGAATTTCTTAAGATAAGGAAAACTAGGGTGTCCTAGCATATAGTGCCAGAGCATTACTTTATCCTTAATAGGAATAGAACTAATACTATTAAGACCTTGAGCTTTTTTACTTAGAGCTGTCATCTTCAAAATAGTAGAGACCGTCTATTATCTTAGCACTGCCTATCATCTTCCCTGAATTCTGATCCCGGAACACACAATGAGATTCAAAAAAGGTGACACGACAATTAGAGTCTTTTGATAGTTTACTAACTGACAATAAGTTACAGGCAAGTTTTGGTACATGAAGGACATATTTTAGGGATAAAGTTTTAGATAAATGTATCAAACCTTTGCCAGCAATTGGAGAAAAAGACCCATCAGCTATACGGATTTTTTCATGACCAGAATAGGGAATATAATTTTGAAACATATTAGGTAAACTAGTTATATGATCAGAAGCTTTTGAATCAATGATCCAAGGAGTAGGATATGGGGATAAATGACTAGATAGAGCCCTTGAAATCTTACCCGTTTGAGCCAAAGAAGCATTAGGAGTACTATATAATTCAGATTTGGATTTTAGCAGCTTTAGAATGCGATCAACTTGCTCATTACTGAAAGGGACAGACTCGGCCTCATGTGCAGCAGGTGTACGGTTGAATCTCCCTTCATGTTTTCCCTTCCAATTTGCTGGTTTACCGTGGATCTTTCAACAAGTTTTACGAGTGTGTCGCGGTTTATTACATTAGTCACACCATCCATGTCTTCTCATCTGGTTTCCTTGTAGTGTCACGGCTGATATAGGCTTCGGCTGTGGTAAAGCATAATTTTCTATGTTATTTCCAGAATTTCTAGAGACCTTCTTACCGAGCATGACTAGGCGGCGACTCTCCTCCAGACAAACTTCATAAAAGACTTCTCCAAGAGAGGGCATGGCCTCTAACCTCATCAAATTCCACATTCAAGCAAATCAGAAAGTTGAAAATCCGGTTGTCCTCCACGGTTTTTTGGTAGTGATTGCAGTCTTTAGTAGATTTCCATTCATAGTCGCTGAATAAGTCTAAATCCTACCACATACGTTTCAGTGAGTTAAAAAACTTGGTAACATTATCCTCACATTAGTGGATTTCTCCGAGTTTCAGCGTTAATTCAAACACTTGGGACTGATTTCCCAAATTTGAATACAATTGGTTGACGTTGTCCTACAGTTCCTTGGTAGTGTGAGAACACATGTAGTTTGAACTGATATCCTCCTCCATAGAATTCACCAGCCATGTCATTACCAACGAATTCTCAACGTCCCAAATAGGATAGGATGAATCTGTAGCAGCCGGTTCTTTCTTTTCTCCAGTTAGGTAGTCGATCTTCCCCCTGCCACGAATATACATTTTGACAGACTGTGACTAGCGTAAAAAATTTTCTCCATTCAACCGGATGTTAGTGATTTGAACAAAGTGAGAATCTGGATTAGAAACATGAGGCCTACTAGGATTTTATTGAATTTGGGAAGGAGATGGCTAGTTTACTAGAATGGTTGTTGATTCAAAAGTGTCAGACATGGTTGGACAAAAGAATGATTGAAGGGATTTTCTGGTTTTTTTTTTCCTTTGAATAAAGGTTGGCGGCTAGGGTTTCTATGATACCATATGAGCAAATAAGAGGGGTAAAAAGAATTATCTTTACTGCACTGAATTAAGGTTTACAGAATACCTATAAATACAGAGACTAAGAAACTATTCTAGGAAAGTACATAAAACACAAATCATCCTAACTAATTACACTTTATTCTAGTGGACTAAATCTTCCTAATTCCAGCCTATAATAATCTTTCTATTTACAGCCCTATGATTCGGTACATTTACTACCGAATATTCTATTTCCAACAGCTTTCTTTAGAGTATTGAGTGGAGTTTCAAAGGATAGGACTCGACTAGGCATCCTATTGATAAGATAGGCAGATGTTAAGACAACATCTCCCCACAACATTTTAGGCATATGGGCAGTAAACATCAATGCTCGGGCAACCTCAAGCAAGTGTTTATTTTTCCGTTCGACTACATTTTGTTGGGGAGTGTCAACACATGAACTTTGGTGAATTATTCCATTTGCCATTAGAAAGTCCCCTAAGATAGTGTTAAAATAATGCGTCCTATTATCTGTTCGCAAAATCTGAATTTGAGTTTGAAATTACGTTTGAACCATGGAGTAAAAAATTTTGAATACTTCACGGACATCCGTTTTGTTTTTCAGGAGCTAGACCCAACAAGTTCTACTATGACCATGTAACACTCTGAAGAATTAAATGAGATTAATTAAGATAATTGAGATTTATTAGTGTGCCTGATCTGAATTAATTAATTGGTTATTAATTAATAAATGTTTCTGGCGTGTAAATTTAAGTAATTCTAAGGTATTTTAATATTCTCAGTATTTATATTTTTACCCAGAAGTGTGTATGAGCACTCTCTAGACTGTTAATTTAAACATTTTGACACCTGTCCATTTTCTTTTCATTTTCATTTTCTTTTCCTTCCTTTCCTTTGTCCTTCCCGTGCACTCTCTCTCTCTTTCACTCTCTCATTCTCTCTCGCTCTCTCTCCCTCTCTCCCATTTTTGTCTCAAATTAACCGGATCTCGAACCAAAGAGGAATTTCAAAGAGTTTTCAACGTCAAGAGAAGGATTTGAGGTAAGATTTCTGAATAACTTCTCTTGAATCTCGGCTTTTTGGATTTAAAAACTTATTTTTGGTTCGAAATGGATTTTGAGTAAAACTATGGTAGAAATTGGAGATCCTGAGTTCTTTGGACTTGATTTAGTACCTAGAACCCGAATCTAGTAGTTGTCCCTTGAGATATTTTGATTTGAAACTAGATTTGCAGGTTTTTGAAGTGATTTTGTGAGTTTTCTCACACTGGTGTTCTTCACCGGTCGACCTGTGTGGTCGACCGGATTTTATTGGCCTTACCGATCGACCTGTTCGGTCGACCGGATTGCACACCACCGGTCGACCGGTGGTGATGCACTGTTCTGTCACTGTTCGATCGGTGTAGACGGGGTTTTACCCTGTTTGGCCTGAAAATGCTGTTTTGACTTCAGTTTTCGAGGAGAACTCAAATTAGCTTCATTTGGGGACTTAGAATGAATGAATTAGCATTTTTAATCCATGTTTTGAGATTGAAAACCCTTGGAATGATGATTTGAAACATGAAATGGTTTGTGAAACCGGTAATTGAATTATGACACACTAATAGGGAATCAAAGGATGTAATTGAAATTGAATTACTTTAGGAATGCGAATTGAGTCCTAAAGTACTGTCTTGTATCAGTGTTAGCTGAGGACTCGAATTGAGTGGCTTGAGGAAGCGGAAGCCGGAATAGTGCACCGCTAGCCACAAGTTTGATATTTACGAGGTATGATTTCTTATCATTTTCTTTGTGAGCCTGATTTTAAAAGAGTTTTGGCCTTGTAAATGCTTTAAAAAAAGGGCTTGTTTGCGAAAGAAAAATCTTTAAAACCATGGCTTGTTGTAGTTCATGGGACTCATGGCTTGTTGTAGTTCATGAGATTATAATGAACGATTTTATAAAGTTTAATGAATGATTTCTTAAGATAATAGATCTTGCGAATCGGTAAACCGCCTGATGGCCAAGATAGGATGTGGAGAGTGCATCCTTGGGCCAGAACCCAAAACCTGGCCCGGGGGTGATATGGCTTGTGCACGTGGTTGTGTAAGTAATTTATCATAGTATAAATTACTTGCTGATGCCTGTAATACAGATATTTTCAGATATATTTCCTTTGAGAAAAAAGATGTGAGGTTCCGGCTGTTGTGTTGGAACTGAATGTCTTATTTTATTCACTTATCCATTTATTTATTTACTTGCTTATTTTTTTATTCATTTATTTATAAAGTTATTTCAAAATATATCATACTGGGCATTTCGCTCACGTTTTATTATTTTATAAATATTAAACCCCTTCCAGGAAATTCTAGAAGCGGTGCGGAGTAACTGAGTTAGATTGCTACCACCCGTATTTGGAGAGGATTGTGTTTATCCTCCTTGATATAAATGTATCTCCTGTAAACTCTTATATTTGGGTTATTAGACTGTAGTTGATGTCTGTAATGTTATTTACATGTGTTATGTATGTATGATAATGAAGATCCTGTGGATAGATCATGTAATTTATTTTATGCACAATAGTGGGGCTCATTCAGAATTTTCCTTTATTATCATGCGTTTAACTCCTAATTGAGCTCCACGTCACCGATCCCTGCCCCGAGGCGTGTCAGAGTGGTATCAGAGCCCTTAGGTTAAGAAACCACAAGATTGTACATACATGTGTGACATCAGGAATCCATTGAACAGTCTAGTTTCTTTTCAGTTAAAGAAGATGCCGCCGCGTCGTAGGTCGGTTAACAACCCGGCACCACAGAACCAGGAGTTCATGGATGCCATGTATGCTGCTTTCCAAGGAATGACCACTCGAGCTCAGAATGAGCGACCGACCGAGGATAGGAAGTAGGGTTATTTTTGAGAATTTTGATGTGCACCAATCCCCACGTTCAATAGTGAGAGAGGACCCCAAGAGGTGGAATTCTAGTTTGATTCCATAGTTAAGCACTTGAATACTATAGGAGTGCCGGATGAATATTGGGTTGAATTTGCGGTGTACAAGATGGAAGGCCAAGCGAGCACTTTGTGGAAACAGGTGATGAGAAGGCTTAATATTGCGGAAATGAATTGGGAACAGTTTGAGGTTCTCTTCAATGAACAATATTTCCCTCAAAGCTATAGGGATGAAATGGCAATGGAGTTTATGTCCTTGCTTCAAGGTGATATGTCGGTGAAGGAGTATGAGGCAAAATTTAATGACTTGTCCCGCTTTGCGTCATTTCTTGTGGAGTATGAGCATTTGAAATGCCTGAAATTTGAGAAAGGTCTCGAGAATTATGTAAGGAGACCCTTAGTGGCTGTAAGGATCTGAAATTTTCGAGACCTGGTGGCTGCTGCTACAAGTGTGGAACAAGATAATTTAGCCTATCAGCAAAGCAAGGAAGTAGCTAGTCGAGTTTATGCTTCTAGTTGACCTATTGCTTCAGGTGGGCCACAACGGAGTGATAGAAGAAACCGCAATCAGGGACAGATTAGCGGGGAAATGATCAGTGGTGGCAGTAGTTCCCTTGGAAGTGACAGGAGTGGTCCCTACAGCCCTAAATGTCATTATTGTGGGCAAGTTGGCCATATTAGGAGGAACTGTCTAAATCAGAATCAGCCGCCGACTCAGTAATCTCAGAGTGAGGCTTCTTATGGTCAGGAGGACCACCGCAGTTTGTGCCGCCTTATCAGCCACAACTGTCGATGCCATACCCTCCTGTGTTAACCTACCGTCCGCCTCAATATCCACAGTTTCGGCCTCAGGCGCCAGGACCATTTTAGATTCCTCCGCCACAACAATATAGGCCATGGACACAACACCCCAATATTGGTGATAAAAGAAATGGGAAAGCGCAGGGACAAGCGTTTACTTTGACCGGAGGTAGTTCTTGAGGACAGGCTAGCAACACGGTGGTTGAGGGTATCTCTCACTCTTTAGCACATGTGTTGTTTGACACTAGTGCTACACTCTTTTATATCAAGTTCTTTTGTACGCATGTTCAAACTGAAATATGAGAACTTGGAAGTCCCAATGACGTTGAACTCCCCACTGGGATGTGTGGAGGTGTTGAATGTGTGTAGATCGTGTGAAATCACGATTGGGGGTGAGCGATTAAGAGTCGACTTGATTATCCTTCTGATGAGTCTGTTTAATGTGGTACTCAGAATGGATTGGTTGTTAAAATACTGTGCAATTGTTGATTGCTACCTTAGAAGAGTGACTTTAGTGACAAACTCCAGAGCGGTGATTGCTTATCAGGCAGACATGAATCAGAACGACTGTTGAAATTCAACGTTAGAGGACGTAGGAATCTAGCATGTTTTTCATTCTTTCTTACTTTAGAAGGTGAACCCGAGGTAATTGGAGACAATGCGGAGATTCCTGTGGTGGATGAGTTCGCGGATGTATTTCCTGATGAGTTACCTGGTTTGCCGCCGAATCGGGAGATTGAATTCTGCATTGATTTGGTTCTGGGAACGGCACCTATCTCTATTCCTCCATACCGGATGACACCTGCTGAAATGAGAGAATTAAGAAAGCAGCTCGAGGAGCTAGCGAAAAAGGGGTATATAAGGAATAATACTTTCCCTTGGGTGCACCTGTATTATTTGTGAAGAAGCACGACGGATCTCTTCGGTTGTGCATCGACTATCGTCAATTAAATGGGGTAACTATGAAGAATAAATACCCACTGCCGATGATCGATGATTTATTCGATCAATTGGGTGGATCCCAGTATTACTCTAAGATTGACTTGAGGTCAGAATACACCAGCTTAAGATTAAGGAGGAGGACATTTCGAAAACTGCCTTTAGAACTCAGTATGGGCACTTTGAGTTCCTGGTAATGCCGTGTGGGTTGACGAATGCCCCAACTACATTCATGGATCTAATGAACCGGGTCTTCCGGCCGTACTTAGATCAATTCGTGATCATCTTCATCGACGACATTCTGGTCTATTCGAAGACTTGGGAAGAACATGAGCAGCATTTGAGAATTATTCTTCAGACTCTTCGTGAGCACCAATTGTATGCGAGAAAGGAGAAGTGTGACTTCTGGCTGACGAAAGTGAAGTTCCTTGGTCATGTGATATCAGGACAAGGAATTTCTGTGGACCCTTCCAAGATCAAAACTGTGCTACATTAGGAAAGGCCGAAGAACGTGGCAGAGATTCAAAGTTTTCTCAGACTCCCAGGGTATTATCGACGTTTTGTAAAGGACTTTTCGAGCATTGCTGCACCGATGACTCGGTTGACCAGGAAAGAAGTCAGATTCGAATGAGACACTGAGTGTGAACATGCCTTTCAAGAATTGATGGTAAGGCTAACAAATGCACTAGTCCTTATTATTCCCAACTGCGAAGAGGCATATGAGGTATAGTCGGACGCCTTGGGGAGTGAACTTTGCTGTGTCTTGATGCAAGATGAACGTGTGGTAGCCTATGCATCTCGCCAATTGAAGCCACGTGAACGAAACTACCCTACTCATAATTTGAAACTAGCAGCGGTAATATTTGCTATGAAGATATGAAGATGTTATCTCTATGGAGCAAGGTTTCAGGTCTTTTCTGACCATAAGAGTTTGAAGTACTTGTTTACTCAGAAAGATCAGAACCTCAGGCAGAGGAGATTGGTGTAGTACATGGAAGATTATGACTTCACGCTGCAGTATTATCTAGGGAAAGCTAATGTGGTAGTTGATGCTCTTAGTAGGAAGACGTTGGGGACTTTGGCGTTATTAGCTCTGGAAGACTGGAAAAGGACTGAAGTGGTGAGCGAATATGAACTTCAGTACTACGAGGATTATAACCAGGCAATGGGGTATAATCTGATCCCCACACCGGCCCTTGTGCAGCAAGTTAAGCAGAATCAATGGCAAGATCCTCATCTGGTCAGAGACTGTTGGGTATCCGGATGGTATACTTGCCACATCTTACTCTGATGTCCGATTTGCGTAAATGAGAAGGCGTTGGAAAGCTTATGAAAGGTTCTACAGATTTGTATAAAATAAAGGAATAATTTCAGAATTTTAAAGGTCCAAAATAGAGTTGAAAATTAACGTCATGAAAATAGTCTTTTGTCTAAAAAGAAAAATCAAGAAAACCTTAGAATTTTCCGAAGATACTTAATTCCATGCATTATAACATGAAGTATATCATATCATGAACATATATTCATTTATCAAATCATCTAAAAAAATGAACATATATATAATTTCTATAAAATGGCATGAACTTGTTCTCGACACCTTGAGTCCTCGTCGCGTTAACCTGTAACAAATAACGCAACATGATGTTAGAATTAACTATATATAACACCATAACATTATTCAAGTTAATTCCTAATATCTATTTCTAAGAATTTTATTGGTTTAGAAAAATGGGTGTTACAAAAAAACTCAAATGCGTTAAAAAAATCCATTTTGTCAATTTCTTTTGTTGTGTTAGGGTTAGAACTTTTCCCCCAAAAAGAAAAATCTGATAAAAAATCAATCTTCATTGTAAATTTCCATGGTGAATCACTCCCAATGGCTGCAACATGGGGAAATATTGGTGATTTTAATCTTATTGACAGTAAGTTTGCTCATTCTTTTCTTTATTTGTTGCGTGTTTCAGAGAATCAACCCATAGCCCCAATCAAACCCAAATTTACCAGATTCAACGCAAATATACAAAAGCTTTGTTGTCTAATGTTAAATGATTTACCTTATACCGAATGCAGCCATAAAATTGTCTTCCCGGATTCTTCTTCATGTGTGATGTCTTCACTACCGGATCCAACCCACATCAATATTGAATAGGACCTAGGATTTCTTCGTTTACTCAACCGCTGCCACCACTGTTTGTACTGTAGGAACTTGCCATGGATGAACAAGGTGAGGAAAAAAAAGAAGCAAAATGGGAACGGAGAAGGTGATTTTTTTCAATAAAAATGGGGAATTAGCTTATTAGGAGGGTAAAAGCGTAATTACACTTTTAATTCTCACTAAATAAGTGACATGTGACATTTCCGTCACTCATTGTAACAGAAAAATAAAACTTGTTAACGGAACAAAGTTTGGGGAGAACGAATGCTACTTTTTAAAATTCGGGGGAATTTTTAAAATTAATCCTAGAAGCAACATATTCCTATAAACAATTCACGTTTTATATTCACTTTTATATTGTTGTATTCTCTCCAACAATTGTCTTCTTCAGGTTTTTATTTGGTTATATTGCCTTCTCATGAAAATGTTAGCTTTCATGTTAAACTTGAAAAATACTACAAATTACGATCGAGTATAACAAGTGTCCAATTTGATATTTAATTGCTATTGGCGGATTATTAACTTTTTATTCAATAATTACAACATTAGTGTTTAACTATTTTAATATGTTCACATTTACAAATTTCATAGCTTAATAATTAGGAATAAATTTATGAATAGTCCCTGAATTCTTTTCTCTTTCTAGAATTGGTCCCTATACTCAAATTTGTCTCATAAATAGTCTCACAACTAAAAAAGTATCTTATAAATGGTCCCTCTATTAAAATTTTAGATGGAAACTATTAAATTGGATGGTCGTTATAATTTTTGGGCTATTTTTAAGGTTTAATACTTCTCTTACTTTTTGTCTTGTTTGAGATCTCTAAATATTTTTTACTTCTTCCTACAACTAATCTCTAAATTTTTATTTTTTATCCGAGTGAATTTACGTTTTTAAATAGATGTAATACCTCTTACACAGTTAAGATAATTATTGTGAGAATTATTATTGTCATTACAATTTTTAAGTGTTATATAGTTTATATACTACTTTTTTCTTATGCACTTGTATCAGTGTACGCTACAGCAAGCTTTTATTTTTGTTTTGCAACTTTTACTACTCCATGTATTGTGCATTAGGTTTATTATTATTACTTTTTTCAGGTGAATGCATTATGGTAATTAAGCTATGGGTTATTCTTAAAAAAAAAAAAAAATTGCTATGGCTTATTATACATAATCAAATCAAATCTTACGATAAAATAATTTACCGAAAAAGAGGGTAGTATTTCTTTTGTGGTACTTTTTTTTTTGTTTTCAATTGGTAAGGATAAAGTGAAGGTGGCAATATCCATAAAATTAGAAAAAAGAAATAATGATAATATTCCCTTTAAATAACCCCAACGTAAGAAAAAAGAGTTTAAATTCTATCTACTAATAAAGAATATATAGTTTAGTTATTTTATAAAACATATATTGATTCAAACAAAACCCAAAGGAAAGGAAAGGAAAATAAGAACAGGCACTAATGTTAGAGGGGAAAAAAAATCAGCTACTTGATATAGAGAGAAGAAAAAAAAAAAAAACATTCAAGAACTGATTTTAGAGAATGGAAAAAAAAATCTTAAAAATAAAAATTATGGCTATTATTAATACCCCTTAAAATAAACTTATTCAATTCAGGGACTAATGGGACAAATTTAAGTACAATGACTAATTCTCTAGAGAGAAGAATTTAAGGACCTCTCATAAATTTATTTCTAATATGATAAAAAGGAGATACAACATTATAAGATAAAATTACAAATCAAATATGTTATTTTTCTACTTCTTAGTAAAGTTATAGCATAGACATCTTTCGGGGCGTTTTTTAGGCCGCCAGTGCATACAAAGAGAGGAAGACTTGACATGGTATTGAATTTCACGTCTGCGCGAGTTTTTAACTACAAATCCACTTGAAAGAAACAAAAGTTACCGATTTCGGATGGTCAAGGAAACGACATCAAGTAAACAAGCATCCAAAAAGTAGGAACATGTATGCATATTACGTAGACTTGAAGCTTGTCAGAGCAAAGAATTTAGGAGGAAAAAAAAAAAAAAAAAACAAAGAAGAAACAAACAATCAGACAAAATAATGCCTAGGCCTTTAAAAACCGCAGATAGTCATCTATTATAGTCATGGCAGATGAACAATAGCCAGAACCAAAAAGATTGTAATGATTCAAGTAATGGTACAGCAAATAAAGATCTCTTCTCTTCTCAAACCCTGGTTGCTTGGGCATCACCTGAAGAAATTAAAACAGTGAAGAACCAATTCAAAAGTTGAGTAGTTTGTTGAAAAATGCTTGGAGGCATTAGTGGTGTCTAACACCAAACCTAATAGAAGGTGAGCCTCACCTGAGGGCCAATGTTGTGGGACCCATCATCTACTATTATGTGGTGTTAGACACTACCAGCGGTGCCCATAGCATTGTTCTAGATATGGTTCATACTTGTACGTTAACAAGGCCAATAACTCCTATAATATCATGCTTGTTTCCTATTTACCTCGAAATAGGCATTGTAGAATGATCCTCCAAAGCCAGCACACCATGACATTCCAAACTCCGCCTCGTTATGTCCATCTATAGGGAAAGACAATCAACAGCATTGATGTCATGAATTTAAACAGTAATTCATAATTATAGTGAGGACACAAGATAGGTTAGAAATAAATAAGTTCATTGTATAGTGTTTTACAAGTTCTATTAACCATATAAACAAATCTAGTCGTGCTACTATACTCGAGGCATATAATCATTAAGTGTAATTTAACTGTTTCAAGTATGTTCATTATTATTTCACGTTTTACATTGGTAAGCAAATAAAGTTCCAGTATGCCTCAATCAACAAATGCACAGTAACGATTAAGAAGTATATTCCTCAAAAAATTTAAGTAACAGAAAAACACATAAGATCCTTTCAATAATTTTAGTCAACGCCCTTCATTTTGGTATATTAAAAAAATGTCTATTTTTTGAAAAACAAGTAAATCACTTATTGTCTTAGAGGTCAATCACGGATTAACTTGGTGGTCAATTACTGATTAACTGATATCAATCATTGATTAAACAAAAATCAGCGAGTGATTTACCACCAAATAAATTAATATTTTCTCAATATAAATTAGTGATATACTCCATAGACTATCAATCAATGATTTACTCAAATTCAATCATTGATTTACCACTAATCTCACTCTCTATCAGCCTCGTGACAGTGTCAGACCTGAGGCACGTGCCTGCATGCCCTTGGTGCCACTTGCAACCTCCCCCACAACGGTTGTTGGCCTCTCAGTGTCGGCATCAAAGGGGAAGAAGGGGATGAAGAGAGGAAGAGAGGAAGAGAGGGGAGGGAGAGAGCAGCTAGTAGGGGGGAAAAGAAAGGAAGCAGACCGTAGGAATACGGGAGACCGTAAACGAAAATCGGCTGTTCTTTAAAAACTAAACTCACAGGACATTGCTTAATTTATGTGGCCAGAAACGGCTGTTCTCTGCAATTTCTCTTCTTAAAAGTTGCACTAACCCCCTTAACTACACTTCTTAGTTTCCTCTTAAGCCTACAGGTATTCCCTAGATCTCGTAAAATCCAAAAAAAAAAAAAAATTATTCTAATATGACTCTTTTGTCTTCAGTGTAACACAACCTCAACTTGTATAATTTAAATCTTCTTAAGTTCCCATCATCAAATTTCAAACTTTTTTAAGTAACTAATATTAGAAACCAACAGCAGTCCGAAGAATTTAATGCTTTCAAAAGATTACCATTGCATCATACGTTCTTCTGGATTACAGGGCACATGTAGCTCCTGAAATAATTCACATCCAAGAATATATTCTGGCACAAGAAGTTAAATATATAACAACTTACAATAACATGCAGGGTCGACTATAACAGGCTCCCCATTTTTGTCGGAGCTGATATTTCCGCTCCATAAATCTCCATGCAACAAGCATGGCTCTATTATCACGTCATCAAAGAGTGGTCCCATACTTTTCACCAACCTCTGTCCTGAAATAAACAATCAAATATCAAGCTCATCAAATTTTTGCTGCTTTTTTTTTTTTGTCTTTTTCTTCTGATTCATAAGGAGCCTAGGCTCTCTGGGAGTTAGTGAACACAGACCAGGTCCAGAAAGAATAAATCAATAATGAAAGAGAACCTTAGACTCCATAAATTTTAACTTCTTAACTATTAACCATAGAACCTGAACCAGAGGGACAATACACCATTCAAATTGCACAGCGTGCCACCCTTTTCATGTTGCTTAAATACCATAAATGATAAATATAGTTAGGCATGATAATTATGATGATTTGAATCACGTTAAAATTTCCAATAACAAGGTCACCTTTATCATAAATGCTACTATCACCATACTGATCTCGTGCTAGCTGCAACTGAAAACCCAATCTATGCTCCCCGTAAAACTGAATCCAATCTGATGTCCAAGTATTTACCTGCGGAGTGCTGCAAGGTAAAAGAATAAACCACTTCATTACAACTTAGTCAGCATCCTGACAATACTCCTATTCTGTTTAATTCCACTGAATTGCGTGTTCACAAGTGTATATAATGCTTTTGCATATCCCATAAAATTACCTTCCAATAGTGTTGTCAACATCAAAACCAAAGCCTTTTTCAGATTTTCCAGCTTTATGCAATTCAGCTAGTTTCGTCCCGAGAACAGACTGAAGACAAACAAATTCAACAAAATTGAATAGCAAATTATTTCGAGTGATATTAGCTTTATAGCAATGATTTCAATATCCCTCACCTGATCGCCTCTTGACGCACCAAATTCAATAAATTCCATGATGATGTACGAACCACCTGTAGGTAGTGACCCTACCTTCAATGCTCAAGAACAAGTTCAACTGAGTACTGCATTCATCTTGCAAACTCAATGTTGATACTTGATATTGAATCCTAATTTGACAATTATGAATCTGTTACTACATAAATTGCTTTAAGTTTCTACACCTTGAATGGCTTTGGTACACGGATTGATTTGGTTTCATACATGGCATTCAACCCAAGAGCTTCTCCCTCAAACATTGATGGTCCAATACTCCTGATTCATGTTTTAAATGACTTGATTAATATATTATAGAGACTCAGAGACGCAACTTGATTTTGGATGGGAAGTGCACATACAAAATGTCTGAACATCAAATACCTATTTGTTTTTACAAAGAAAGAACCAGCATCAGTGTCGTAACGATTAGCACGGTTGATGCAGCCGCCGCCTACAGAACTAATTCTTGTTATTTCTGTTGCTTTTCCTTCTGAGAGAATCCATTCTCGGATTGGGTCATCACTCATTGCCGCCACTGTCAAACAACTCAAAAAAATACGAGTTACTGCACAGAACACATGACTTGCTTTTGGAAATTTATGGCAGAAGAACAAAGCCTAACGACTAGTTGTTCAATGAAATATGTTCCGTTACAGTTCTACCTTTTATTATTTCTTTTAGGACAGAGGGCCTAAAGAGAGAAAATATTGTGCATGTAGAATGAAGCAACACCTCAACAACAGTAAAGTTCTAGTCAGGCTAATTAAAATGTGATTCTTACACTACGAGATGTGCCTCCAGAACATAGGAAATCATCAATACAAAGAGAGAAACAAACTGTTTAAAGATAACCGTACAGGTAAAATACTAACTTCACAGCAAATCAGACACTAAGTAGAAGTAACTTTCTGGTACAAAAGGCAGACACAATTTCAT